AATTAGTGGATCGTCTGCGATTGCTGGACGCTTCGCGTCGAGCTGGCAACAACGCTCACGAAAACGAGATTCTATCGATAATCGAGGAGCTTCGCGAGACGGGAGCGATAGTATAAATCGAGCCGTCGCATCGACGATCGCCACAGTCGTGCGTGGTATTCGCGATGTCCGTGAGCAAATTCGGCACGCCTTTAAAAAACCGCGGCTATGACGCGAGAACCGGAAGACTACGTCTGGCTATCGAATCTCTGCAAAATTACGTGCGCGATAACGCGCTGTGTCTAAGCTCTTCCGTCGAATACGACGCCCGGCTATCGAATCTCTGCGAAATTACGTGCGCGATAACGCGCTGTGTCTAAGCTCTTCCGTCGAATACGACGCGAGAGAGCGCAAGATAAAGCGTCTGGCTAAGCCGGAGGAGGACGCCGCGACGAGCAAAAGCTACGTTGAAGGAATTACGTCGCAATTGAGAAAAGACGCGGACGAAGCAGGGAAAGGCGTCATTCTACTATTCACGAGACTCATCCAGCTCGATAACGCTCTGGGTAAACGAATAGACGCCGCACGGAGAAACGGTTCTTGGTACGATGAAACCCAAAGAGCGCAGGAAATCCGCGTTAGCGGTGGTTAACCTTCCTCCATCGCGTCGCCCCCTTTTTTCGCATATGCCACCCAATGAGTACCCGAGCCGGATGCGTCGTCTAAATTCACGATGCCGCTCTCATCGCGGCCCGCCCGCGATGGAAGCGGGTCGCGCATAAACACGCCTCTAAAGTGAGGCACGCGCGAGAGTATCGCCGCGCGATTTAATTGTTCGTTCGTCGTTACTCCGACGGATGGGAGAATTCCTAGCGTCTGTTTACGCGAAGTTTTGTTTTGTAAAAACTTGAAAGAATCCACAAAGCGCAATTTCAGGCGTTTCCCATAGCATCCCTCGTTTGACGCATTCTCAATGTTCTTTGTGAAAGAGATATACATTTCCTTCGTTACCGACAATAACTCGACGCTGCCGGGAAAAGCGTTAGCAACATCTTTAATAATGAAATTCTCTACGCCGCCTCCCACGCGTTCGAAACGTCGACGCAGATCGTCTCTCGCGCCCGTCAATCGAACGGTTCGAGCGATCAGAGAATTGATCGCTCCGGTGGATCTCCCCCGGCGCTCGCCTCGAGACCCGTCCCGCAGAAACTCGAGACACTCACCGCACCGTCGCACCGTCTCGCCCACGCGCGATACTCGTCCACCGTCGAGACATCCCGCGCGCTATTAAGAAGATCGCGCTCCTCCATCGTTTCTCGATTCATCACTCGTCGTTTAACGAAAGCCAAGATCTTTTATTGATAAACCACGTCTCTTCCTCGTCGTAACCCTCGATATAGAACAAAGCTCTCGTCGCGCAGCCGTCGCACCAATTATTCGACACGTCGAAGACTTCGTCGATAAGATCGCAGGCGGGCACTCTCTCGCTATACAACGATTTTTTCATATGAGTCGATACGCTTCTCAAGAAGCTCGATCTATGCGCGCATTCCACGCAATATCTCACATCCTCCTCGAAATAATTTCCGTTCTCGAATTGGCAACCGAATGTATAGAAGCAATGCACGACGTGATTCACCTCCCACGAAAAATTTTGGAACTCCGTATCGCCGTTTCCAATTGCGATAAAGCAAATAGCCATCGGCTCCGACATTCGAGAAAGGCTCGTCGAATCGCGCCTCGCTCGCCTCTCGCACGAACTCTTCCGCGAAGCCGATCTTTTCTCTACAGTACAGACAGT